TCCTTCCTTCCTTCCTTCCTTCCACTTAATTACTTATTTTCGCGTTTGTTCTTTCAGGCCCCAGATCTGCCCTGAACCCGAACCTTGAAAACCCTTAACCCAATGCCCCTAAACCACGCCTGAAACCCTAAATCCCCCAAACCTAAACCCTAAACCCTAGATCCTGAAACCCAAAACACCCCCCAACCCTAAACCCTAAATCCTGAGACCCTAACAAACCCTCAAACCCTAAACCCTAAATGCTGAAACCCTCACAAACCCCCAAACCCTCAACCCTAAACCCTAAATCCTAAATCCTGAAACCCTAACAAACCCCCAAACCGCAACCCTAGACCCTAAACCCTAAATCCTGAAACCCTCCTGCCTTCTTCCTCAGCAGCATGTGCGCGGGCCTCCGGGCCAAGTTGGCCAAGGCCTGACCTGTGAGCTCCTTCAGACATGAGACGAAGCATAAGGTTAATAGGGTTTAGGAGTTTATAGGGTTTAGGGTTTATAGGGTTTAAGGTTTAGGGGTTTAGGGTTTGTAGGGTTTAGGGGTTTAGGGTTTATAGGGTTAAGGGCTCATAGGGCTTATAGGGTTTAGGGCTTATAGGGTTTATAGGGTTTAGGGCTCATAGGGCTTATAGGGTTTATAGGGTTTATAGGGTTTAGGGCTCATAGGGCTTATAGGGTTTAGGGTTTATAGGGTTTAGGGTTTATAGGGTTTGTAGGGTTTATAGGGTTTAGGGTTCAGGGGTCGCAGGTTCAGCGGCTTTACGGTTCAGGGTTTGTAGCCTCTTCCTAGTGAGGATGTTGGGCCCCGCATAGCTAGGGTTTAGGGTTTAGGGTTTAGGGTTTAGGGAAATTTTTAAAACCCTATTCTGGAGCATGCGCCCTCACCTGCTGGAGCCTGCATGCAGGCCCACATAAAACCAAATCGCCCGGGTAAAACCCTAAACCCTAAACCCTAAACGTTGGGGACTGCTGAAGCTTCTGATTCCGGGTAGGCCGGGACTGAAGACAAAAAATGATTACGGTCTGAAAAAAGTACAGAGATTATCCCTTACAGTCCCCTTGTAGTATACTACCCCCCAAAAACGATCCTAATTGCTAAGGCTGCTAAGGTTCGTATATTTGCAATCTCCGTTTGGGAGGCGCAAGGCACACATACACACGAGCACACACATGCATGTGTCAACGTATCGTAATAAATATCTATATGTCTTGCTGCGAGCCTCGACTCCTTCCACTGCGCGCGAGGCTATCGCATTCACCGACAGTGGGCCGGCAACAGCCGTTACCGCAAGCGCCCACACGGTGTTGGCAGGACCTGCTTTGAGATTGTTTTTTTATCGCTAACCCCACTGCTGCTACGACGTCTTCTGGATCTTGCCACTGTTGTGTCTACTTCCTGTACTGCGGCTGCTGATGCCACTGCTGGTACGACTGCTGCTACTGCTGCTGCTTCTGCACTACGAGTACAGCCACGACTGCGACGACTACTACTGCTGCTCCTAGGTCCTACTATAGCGGCCTGAAGAATTAGAATAGGGCGTTGGGGTATACTATACTGTAATTACGATAGGGAACTCCCAAAAATAGTATAGGTAAGTATTTCGACCAGCCTCGACGGCGGTCACCTTACCACCACTGCAGACTTCTAGAAGCGAAGATGCAGCTGTAGGGGCCTTGTGCTTCGGACTCCTGGAGCTTGGCGTGAACCTATTCCTGAAGATGGACTCGGATTTAGGGTCCAGGGCTTGAGGGGAGGATGGGACTTCAGAGTTCATTCAGGGCTCCTGGGCCTAAGAACGACGATCAGCGGGCTCCGGGGCTCAAGGTTCCAGGTGTAGGCTTCCGGGTTAAGTCTAAGGTGAGCTGGTTGTGGCTTAGAGTTCGAGGGTTGAAGAGGTTGAAATCTCAGCTTGAGCAATGGAGTAGGTTGCTAGCTTCTACCTTCGGTTCCTCGACAGCCGGACGGACAAGTGGTCTTCGAACAGGCAATTGGAAGCAGGACCCTGCAGCCAAAACCGGACGCCCCAGAATCCTTAGACTGAACTCGCCAAAGCCAGATCAAACCACACTGAAACCGCGAACACTGGGCGCCAACCCAAAATCCCACACCGCCAAAGCTCAGCACACATCAACCCACACCTGACCAAACATCGTCATGGCAAGGCCAGCAGTGTCTGCAGCATCTTGTCACAGTCGTCGTCTTAGCTGCCATCACGGTGTCACTGGCATCAGCAGCACCATCATCAGTTTCACCATCGTCGCCATGCTCCCAGTAAAACCACTTGCTTCGTCTCACCTTCATCCCCAGCATCTTCTTCTACAGAAGTTCCATCATGACCATCACCATCATCATCACCAGTCTCAGTACCACTGAGAGGAGCATCACGATCACGATCAGCAACAGATGTTGATTTCAGGTAGCACCCTGCTAAACCTATATATATATATATATATGTTTATTTATTTATATTTATTATTATTATTATATATATATATATATATACAGCCAGAATCATGGACACCAAGCGGCTGCAATGGCACGGAACAAGGCCCGGTTCTCCATTCCGATCTGAATCGAAATCTCAGATGTGACCACCTCTTGACAAGTTTTGTAGGCTTTGCGAAGGCTCGCGCTATACAAGATCTCAAAGGACTATACGGACTTCCGAGGGTTTGAGGTGCGACTAGTATTCCGGTTTTACTGCTGTAGGGCGTAGGGCGGGCATGAGCGCAGGGGAGGCTATGTTCTTTGAGAGGGAGCAAGAAAGGGAGACAGGGAGAGAGGGGGAAAGGGAGAGTGAGATGGGAGGGATAAGGAGACAGGGCGAGAGAAAAAGGAGCTAGAGGGAAAGAGGAGAAAGAGAGAGAGAGAGAGAGGCAAAGGGGACGAGTGGGAGAGCAAGAGATGAAGAGACAAACACAGGGTGAGAGGACAGACATGGGGCCAGGAGCGAGAGTTGCTTGGCTTTGCATGTGTAGACACACAAGTACACACACACACACAGACGGATTAAGTGGAACTGCCACAGCGACTCAAGCTGTTCAAACTGATACTGCCACTCGAAGAATAAAAAAATCTGAACTTAACAAGAATTCAGCGCACTACCCCTACCGGTATTGCCGGCAATACCACCATGCACGTAGAAGGAAATGACGACACAAGGACGGCCCTGCTGCTGCTGCTGCTGCTGCTGCTGCTGCTGCTGCTGCTGCTGCCGCCCTTCTGGGGCTGCTGCTGCTGCTGCTGCTGCTGCTGCTGCTGCTGCTGCTGCTGCTGCTGCTGCTTGGTCCTTGCTGCTGTCACTGCTGGTGCTCCTTCACGACGACAGCTACTACGATCGCTACTCTGCTACTGCGATGACCGCGGCGACGACTACTACAACCACTACTAGGTGCAGCGGCGACGACAACCTCGAACACTACCGCTGTTCGTGTTGGTGTTGGTATTGCCCGTGTTGTCCAGGGACGCCCGACAGCTGTGTCGTTTAGATCCCCTACAAATGCTATTATCCAATACAGACGCCAATGCAACGTACACCTCTACTGCGACTGCGCTACACCTTATCGTGTGATGCGTCAGTTTGTAGCAGTATGCCATTGTCAGGCCTGACGGCGGACCAGCTTGCGCAGAAGGGGCACATTGGCATGCTCATCACGGACTGGAAACCATGGCGTTCTCTCGAAACTCCCCTCAAACGGAGAGCCCTAAACGCATGTTTCTCGAACCTCGTGAGGCACATGTAGCTCGCAGGTCTAGGATTTGGCGCTTTAGGTTTATGCGCTTCAGGAGCCCTTTATTGTTCTCGAATCGAAGACAAGCCTAAACCCGAAAGCCTAAACCCCCTGAGCGCTAAACCTCAAGCTCTTCATTCTTGGGCCTGTGTTGCCATATACTCCGAAGGCAGCAGCCACAGATCTTCTGCTGGAGTTCTGAATGGAGTGCATGTCCAGGCTTCGCAAAGGTTCAACATGCCTTCTACAGGTTTCAACAAAGGATCTGGGGTCTAGCTTCTACAAATTTAGAATGTCAAGAGGCAGGAACTTTGGCACGCCAAGTAGCCTGCGGCCGCTGTGCACTCTTGGCCCCCTGAAGCCCCTTTAGACCCCAAACCCTAAGATCAGCTGCAGATATTGCTCATTGAAAAAGACTTCAGTGGCAAGGCTGAAAGCTCGCGGGTTTTCAGTTCGTAGCAAGGCACGACTACAAGTTCAGCTCCCAAGCCGGAAACACCTTCACCCGAAACCCAAAACCCCCCAAAAAAACCCAAGAGCCTCCGCGATATGTCTTTTCGGTTCGAACTCTTCAGCTTTATGCCTGAAGTCCTAGAGTGCAGGTATCGAGCCCCTGAGGCCTTCACCCTTCGAGGTTTTCTGGCTTAGGGTTTAGGGACTTAGGGTCCTTTGCGACCTACAAAGCTTCGAGCGACTCTGCCGCGATGGGTGTCTCAGTAGAAAAAAACTTGTCAAAACGTATTATATGGTCCATTGAACACTGCTGTTGTTCCTACTGCAACTTGACTTGTTTTTAATTTGAGCAGCTCATTATCAGCATTGTTGCCAGTATAGCTATTTACACATATTGTCATAAAGGTGCCTTCATCTAATGCTGCTAGCATTGTCATGTCTGCCTAAGCCCGTTGTGCACCTAGTCACGTATGTAGGGGCCTTAACTAACAAATAACGGAGTTTAGGGTATACAAACAAACATGAAAGCATAACATAAGGCGGAACCTATATATGGTGGATAACCTTACATGTCAATACCATTCGTAGCCGTGGGCGTACTATAGTGATTTACTGTCCCACATAAACTACAATGGAACGCTGCTACGAGTTCTATTCCGACCCTGATGCCAAGTCGAAGGACTGCCTGCAAACTGTGGGGTCTGTGGCGTCTGCGGTGGAGGTCCCGGCCGCTGTGGACTAGACCCTCAGTTCTTCAGGGACCAGTTTCAGGGTGCTTCTACTGAGCCAGTAGGAACCTACTTCACTCAACGAAAAAAGCGTCTCAAAACGCTAAAGAACTCCTAAAAGACCCTTCTTAGGTGTTTTGGGGTTTTGTTTTGGTCAGGTTTAAGTTTCGGTTTACTTGAAAGCTCACGGTTTTGGTCTTGGGCTAGTAAGTTCCAAGTTGAGGGTCCAAGAAATTTATCTTGGGTTTAAGGTTGAGGTTTAGGGGTTAGCACTTTCAGAGGCATTCGGGGTTTTGAGTGCTCCCGGGTTGTAGTTGTTTTCATGTATAGTTCTTGCTGCTGTTGCTGAATTTGGTCTTGTCGTCGCTATGGTCACCAGTGCCTACAGTAGGAAAGATGTTCTGATGCTCGAGTTCATAGTTGTAGGATGTAGGGTACAAGGCTCAGAGCTGCGCAGTTGCAAGCGCAGGTGTGTGCAGGATATGTGGTTTTATGGCTCCGTGATGCTGTTCGAGACCGTGCTTCCTGCCCGTAGTTACAATAACTCTGTGGCCGATGATTTCTTGCAGTCCATCGTTCTGCAGGGCTATGCTTATCGGATAGCCCTGAATCCTTTACGGTTATAAGAAAGTTTTTCGACTTCATGGCACTAGGGCGTAGTAGAGCTATGATGCTTTTCCAACACGCTTCCAATGTAGATATTATGATGAGTGGTGTTTCGGATCCTGCTTGAATATTAAAGGGCGTGGCTTTGAGGTAAAGGCTCGGGGCTCTGAGGTTTATGTTGGGGTTCAGTAGCTGGCTTCGAAATAACATGAAGTATCACAAGAACAAGAGCCACGATCGTGATCATGCAACGGGCAATGATTAAATCAGGAATGCAACGCTTCGGAACATGCTTCTGAGAAGTAGACATTGCAGGATCTTGCCATCGCCATGGGCTGGAAGGACCCCTGGGCAGGTGGAACATGGGAGGCTGTCCAGGCTTGCTTTTCGGGGCGTGCAGTCGAAGGGCTCAGGTTTAAAAGCTAATATAGCGGCCTTAACCCGTTATGCTATACAAGGAACCCCAACATACTGTTGATGATATAAATCCTGCATGACCTTAAGGACCCTAAACCATGGGAATTATGGTATCTTACTTATTATGGGTAATGCAGGATTTTTATCATCAACCGTAGTATAGGTAACTATTTAGGCCCCGACATTCGTAATGCTAGAGAAAAGTAAGGGTCCAGGAGACGGGAAGAAGGAAGGGCATGTCCTCCGAAACACCGAGCTGTGCAAGAAAGAGGGTTTAGGGTTTAGGGTTTAGGGTTTAGGGTTTAGGGTTTAGGGTTTAGGGTTCAGGGACTTGTTCTGGACAGTGAACCTCGTATCTTGAAGAGCCGAAGGGAGAGCAATCAAACCATACACTACCCTATACTGTAAGAGCCCACTTACTCATGTAGTATCAAAATCCTTAAACCTAAAGTCTGTGACCAAAGCCCTGAAATTCGAACCCAAACGTCCAACCTCCTGCCTAAACCCAACACCCCTTACTAAGCCACTGAACCCACAAAGCCCAATACGCATTAATTCAGGAATACAATATTCCACAGTCCAAGTCAACATATTCCTTCATTGATATTCCTTCACAAAGGAGTATTGAGTATATTGGGTTTTCTGCATCAGGCGGGCGGTAAGCCTGCGCCCGCTATCCGTGGCGACATTGGCGAGAGCTTCAGCGGCGGCGGTGCTGGTGTCCCACTGGTGCGGACAGACACGCAAGCTCCTTGCAGAGATGCCGCTAAGAACTCACACAAACACATAGCTTTAGGAATCCCGGGCGCAAGTTTTAAAGCTTTTAAGGGCTCAGTGCTTGGGTTGGAATGTCTTCCGGGAGTGGACGGGTTTCCATGCGTTGGAAGAATGCATTGTGATCTCTAGGCGCTCGACAAATTGTCGAGAGCGCAAGCTGCAAGATTTCCCCAAATGATGGTGCGTTGACTAATTACTGGATGTGATGTGCACGACAAGTAACCATTGGGGGTTTTCACCCGAAAGAGCTGCAAAATCATGCCAAAGCAGAATCCACGTAGCAAACCACAAGAGCCCATGTAGTATCGCCAACGACGCGAGCAGTCTGCTGACAGCGCTACTTGCTCGTTTGGTCTCACTGACAGTCGAAGAGTCGAAAACCACACAAGAGGGGGGGCCAGTGGATGGGAGGAGAGTGCATCGCCTCTACGGCCCTGAAGAGCCTCTACTGTCTGGTGCTTAGTAGGGAATGGGGGAATGGGTTATAGGGACTACTATAAGGGACCTTAAGGGACTATCGTAGGGATCCATTCCCCCATTCCCTACTAAGCGCCAGGCAGTCTAGTAGAGTTCAGGGACAGGGGCCTGCATCTGATTTGAGTCAACCGTCGATGCGCAGTTCATCCGCTCACAGATGCATGCAAATATACATGAATTAAGGTATGTTTCAGGATGATGGCGCTCCAAACCCTAACCCTCCAGGTACCTACTATATAGCCCTAGGGGCTCTAGCACCCTATATAGTAGGTACCTGCGGCGGTTGGGGAAAACTCTCCCTGAACGCATCCGCTGCCCATTCCTGCCGCATTCGTCGGAGCAGCGGCAGCTTCATTGGAAAGCCTGGACGAGGCGTCCACCCGGTCACCGGGAAGACGCCGCATGGCGCGCGCATGCGTCGACGCTGATGGATGTCACAACCGACGACGACAACCTCGACGACAACAGAACAACAACCACCATGTGGCCAATATCTGAACAGCAGGGAAGCCAACTCCGCTTCAACATCAGATATGTGCACTGCGAACTGCATCCCCCCATTGTGGACGCTACACGATGTCACCACAACGACAACAGCAAGAACGACAACAGAACAACAACCACGATGCACGCACTGTCTAAACCGCAAAGAAGCCAACTCGGCGGCAACACGAGCAGTGTGCAACGCACTGCTTTCCCACAGTCTGGACTCCGATCGACGTCATCGCGAAGACGACAATCCACGACAACGGACCTGTGTGGATCATTCGATGCATACCATTCGAGAGTGCAGACGCCGAAAGATGTGTATTTCACTCCAATAAAGCTCCCAACTCTCGAACCTTGAATGCCGCGGAATGTTACGACTTATGGCTTTACCTTCCCTCCAGTGTCTGCTCTGATTTGATGAGACACCTTGCGACAACATTAGCGTGGTATGCACCAACTGCGGGTGAACACCCACGTCCGCACCTAAACATCTCGAAATTGTGACACTTTTTGAGGGTTGCGAAACACGCCAAGTGGTCATCAGTCCGAACTCATCTTGGGCAGATGTGTCTATCCTTTCGGTCCATAAGCCGCGTCAAGCTGACCGGGTTGTCGTGACCATAAGCTTAAAACGTCGCCAAAAATCTCGTCTGCTCGGCCGGCGTTCCCCGATTAAGCCTGGTTTTGCGGCAGCAGTCCACACCAGGCGGTACTCATTTCGAAGCGTTCCTTGCTTCTGGCAAGTAGTACTTGCCACCAGCATCGAGATGCAGATTAGGCTGCAGGCTGGGCGATGGAAAGAGTCTTTGCTTCGCGCCTAAGCCCCAAGCTGCCTTGTCATTAAGCTTTGCATGATCTCATGCCACGAACATTGTTATCAAGAGCGGGTTGAGGGGCACAAGCAGGGAGGATGCAGCGTCTTCTCCATTACGGATCTCTTGACTCCCTTCAGTGTCACTGCATTATAGAAGCCTTCCGCCAAGGATGGAGCTTGCAAAGCTGCGAGCACCAGCACACACTGCGTCCGCACCGCAATGATTGACAATCACACTCGCAGAGATCTCAATGTCAGCACATCACAGCATCCACCACCTTCACGCACCCTTGAGGCGAACTTTGTGACATGACGTTTTGCGAGTGGACTGCTTGTTTGTCCGAACCTGCTTCTGCAAAGCCTGGCATCTGCTGAGATGTCTTTGGCTGAATGGGCAATCTGCAAGCAAAACCATCGGAACGCGTGTATGAAACAAGCACCAATGCAGGCACAGGGCACAGAATCGAGGCCATGCGGACGGAGATAAGGACAAACGTACAAACAGCATCCGTCGTGGGTCATGTGGCTTAAAGGCATCGATCGCGGCAGCCGTTCCGGCCTCACTGGTAAAGAATCCCGGCGCACAACTTGCCTTGGCGGGATCAGTGTCAAAGCATTCTTGCCGTTGCTGCCACCTACAGACTATAGTCTCCACTGTATTTCCTTTTTGGGGTTCCCTTATCGGATCCTAGATATAGCTTACTACTGATTAATTAAATCAAAATGAGGAACTAGAATGATTACAGCTACTCTGACAGGAGCCGGAAGTGCGTGCTGTCAAGGATAGTGTCAGTACTGGTAGGAAACAGTATCAGCAATACTGCCATGAGTTTGCGGCCCCAGTTCTGGCACACCAAACGGTTTGACTGCTGTTCCTGGTCATGGTCCTGCTGCTGAGACTGTCAGCACCGTTACAGCACTACAGTTCCCTAAAAAGGAACACACGCAGTCTCCTTCTTTCCCTCGCCCTCGCCCTCTCCCTCTCACTCACCCTCTCATTCGCTCTCGGCCCCTTTCTGGCCTTTTTTCTGTCTGATCACATCGTGTCCTGTAAAAGCAGCAACCCAAATGGCCCACCTTGGCAAGCTGAACAGAATTAAGTTCCGACGCTGTGGCCGAAACAGCCTACAACCGCACATCGAGATCGAGGAATCCCCAACCCCGATGACTGATCCGTCCGTGTGGTGCTCAATCATGCCTTATAGCAAACGGCTGTAGCTCCTATCATTCTGGGAAACATTGCAAGGGCAACAGCAAGTTTTGGGGCCAATGGTGCTGCTTCTGAACCTGGTGATGCTTGTGAAGACTCTGACCACACCCCATGACATGTCATTCCTTCCGCATGTATTCCTGACGCGACTTCTCACACCAGCTTCTCCAGCGCTGTACTGATGTTAGACTGACCGCACACCCCGCTCGCCACTTTGATGCAAAGCCCGCAAGCTTGCACTCCACTCACCGTAGACTTGCCATAAATGGGAGTTTCCGAAAATATGGGGTACCTTAGTTTGGGGTCCTTATAATAAGGATCCTACTATTTCGGGTCCTATACCAGGGTCCCCTATTTGCGGAAACCCCCAAATCCGTTGCCAGAAACATGAAGCCTGGGTCTACGAGCCCTGAGCTTCGGCCCCTTTGACCACCCGAAATCAGAGCGACATCCCAACCAAAATCGCCCGCCCCACCCCGATCAAACAAACCCTAAATGGGTAGTTCTCTAAATTCGGGTCCCTTCAGTTCCCCCAAAATACCACCGCACCCTCCTAAAAAGGGGCCCTAGTTTAAAGAACTACCCAAATTGGGTGGTTGTCAAAATGATGGTCCCTTTTTGGGTCCTTATTATAATGCGGCACCTATTATGTAGGGTACCCCAAAAGGGACCCACCCTAAACCCTAAACCCAAATAGTACGAGTCTGAGCCCGGCGCACGGGCGCAGGTCCCGCACTCGACCATCGAACGGGTCCGGTCCACTGCGTCCTTAGGAAGACTCGGGGTGTTGGGTTTAGGGTTTAGGGTTTAGGGTTTAGGGTTTGGGGTTTGGGGTTTAGGGTTTGGGGTTTGGGGGTTTGTAATTTACGGCTCAGGGTTCAGCGTTTAGTGGTTGTTGGGTTTGGTGCTCAGGGGTTAGGGCATAGGATTTAGGTGAGGGACCCTTGTAGGCTCAGGGGGTCTAGAAGGGTTATAAGTTATAAGGGTGGGTTTAAGGGGCTTAGGGCGGGTTGAACGGTTTGGGTGTCAGTGAAGAAGCTTGCAATTCAGGATTTAGGGGCGTTTAACTTTGTGGGGCTTAGGATCTTTTCGAGGCGTCAGTCATGAACTGCTTCTTGGCTTCCTGGCAGGGCATGACTTTCCGCAAGTCCGTAAGGATAAGCCTCGCATTCACACTTCAGTGTGTCCTTCGTTTGAAAGCATTTGTGTCAGGGGGGAAGCTGTACATTCTCTTGTATACATCTTTAGAAACACCCTTCCCCTTGGTGCAATTATGACTAATTACCATCACACATGACATGTTCTTCTTGTCACATACCGAGTGGGCGCTCTCGCCTACATGCGAATCACCACCAACGAACAACAGCCCTGAGGCTCCATGTGCCTGCATTGTATATGCTCAGGCCTCAAAGGGGTTCCTATACAGGTACTGCAAGGGCTAAGTATATACTACATAGGTTCATGGAGCCTTAGGGACCGATGCAGGACAGCAGGCTCCCCGAGCAATGGCTACGCCCCCATATTTCTCAGGAAACATCATCACCATCATCACCATCATCACCATCATCATCATCATCATCATCACGCATTTTGACAGTGAACAAGTCATTCATGGAGCTGCCGGGCCGTCCACCGACCTTTTGCTTCAATCCTGCGCTCATTCACGAATACCCATAGGCCCTAAAGTAGTTCCTTTTTGGGTTCATATATAGAATCCTATAAGGTAACCCCAAAGGGGAACTACTCTGGGGCCTATGAATACACCCCATAATACGTGCATCGTTCAAGTACCGCGGACTGGACGTGACTATGTCACAGTCATCTGAAACTTGAAAGCCACCCCCCTGCTGAACACCTGCAAGCCACAAATGTGGGGCCATTGATTCGGGCTGCTAACTCTACAACCTACGCCGTCCTGCACAGATGTCTGTTTGCAAAGTAAACTCAATGTAAACCCGAAGCCCTAAACCCTAAACACCTAAAACCTTAAAACCCTAAACCCCTAAAACCTTAAAACCCTAAACCCCTAAACCCCTCAAACCTTAAGACCCTAAACCCCTAAACCCTAAAACCTTAAAACCCTAAACCCCCAAAGCCTAACCCAAACCCAAAACTCCGCGCAAACCTGAGGCCCGAGCAGGATAGGACCGCTGGGAGTCTGCATGTCGGGCTTCAAGGGACCCGGCCCGCAGCTGCGGCGCCGGGGTCTTTCTGCTACCGCAAACAATCTGCAAAGAGTTTAGGGTTTTTTTAAAGGTTGGGTTCGACTCTTTAGGATTTAGGGTTTGCAATCCTAAACTTTAAGGCTTAGGGCTCATTTTCAGAAGTAAGTATATAAGATTTGGTAAACCTTAAGCGCTCAAGTACGGAGCTCGGTGAGCTGCCTTCGGCAAGGTTCTGCGGTTGGGTCCAATCCTAGGAGTTGAGAGCGAAAAACCGGGATACATGAGCCATGATACTACTGGAATATTACGAACCACCATGAAACAGGGATGGCAACAATGGCTCCCACTTTTAATTTAATTGTAACTTTCATCAGTCCTGACCCTAAACCCCTAAACCCTACACCCTAAACCCTTAACCCTTAACCCTAAACCCCAATGACTTACGTAGTCTGGCCCGTGCGAACTTTGAAAGGCTGGGGTCCGCCAAAAGCTTCGGAGTCCGTGGCAAGGGCAAAGCTCTGCAGAAGTAGTCTAAGCCTCCTGAAGCTGAGATTGCCCTGGGGTTTAGGGTTTAGGGCTTAGGGTTTAGGGTTGAGAGTTGGGGTTTAGGGTTTAGCGTTGGGGTTTGGGGTTTAGGGTTTATAGGGTTTAGGGTTTAGGGTTTAGGGTTGGGGTTTAGGGTTTA